ACGGAACGAACTGCTGCGCAGTAAACACGTCCTTTGGTTGATAGACGGATATCTCGCCTACGCCATAAATGACGCAAGTTGGCAAAAGCTAGTCGAGCCTTCTGTATCCGTGCTGAGATTTCGTCACACACCAAACCACAAGGGCTGATGAGACTTCCAAGATAAGTGAAGCGGTCGACACACTCAACTACTTCACTCCCTATCACTAGTTCGGGTGTCGATGTAACCCAATCCTGAAGCAACATTTTGCATTTCGAGGGAGAGAATCGCATCCCGAACATGCTTGCATTGTTGCTTAGAGTGGTCAGAAGACTCTGCATTTTGTCAGCGTCTTCACCAAATAAAACTATGTCATCTGCATATTCTAAGTCAACAAGTGAACCTCCTGGTAGAAGTTCAACCCCTGTAAATTTAGATGAGGAGAGTGTTATCTCTAAAAGTACGTCAATGACAAAGTTGAACAAGAATGGGGAGAGTGGACAGCCCTGACGAACACCACTTGAGGTGATCAATTCTGATGACAGTTCGCCATAAGCTCTCACTCTACCAGTTGTGTTCGAGTAGAGAGCCTTTATAAGGTTAATGTACTTCTTTGGTACTCCTTTCAGTGACAAACACTGCCATAGAACCTCGCGATCAACGGAGTCGAATGCCGCCCTAAGGTCGAGAAATACTACCATTGTGGGGCGTCTGAATGTGTGTCTGTGTTCTAGAACCTGACGTAGTGTGAATATCTGATCTATACAACCACGTCCAGGTCGAAAACCGGCCTGGTTTTCTCTAGTCTGCTCTTCACGAGCTTTAGTTAGGCGTCGAAGTATGATTGAGGCTAATATTTTAGATACTATATTTGTCAAACTGATTCCTCTGTGATTGTCACAAGAGGACTTTTGTCCTTTCTTAAAAACTGGCACAATCAGTGATTGAGACCAGTCAGATGGGATTACGTCCAGTTCCCAAATTCTACCTAAGACCTCAGTTAATCTTGCTGCTAATACTGGACCACCATCCTTAAAAATCTCAGGAGTAAACCTGTCAGGGCCTGCTGCTCTCCCTCGTTTCAGATTTCCTATGGCTTTTTCAACTTCGTAAAGGGACGGAGGACTTACATTAACTTGCCATTCAGGTTGACTGTAGATCGTGGGAAACCGAAGTGTGGCTGAAGGCCAGTTGAACTGATCCCTAAAGTGTTCTGCCCATCGATCCAATCTCCTGGATTGAGAATGAATAATATGTCCATCTTTCTCTGAGATTGTTTCGCTAACGGTCGGGTTCCTAATTCCGGTTTCCTTAACGAGTCTAAACAATTGTCTGCTATTACCTATTGCCGCTGCCTTTTCCATCTCTCTTGCTTTCGCTACCCACCACTGTTCGCGATCATTGCGTAGACTTCTTGTCAGCTTGCGCTTAAACTGACTCCGCTTTTCATTATGTCCAGAGCCAGGCAGAATGCGTTTCCGAGCATCTATCAGTGCGATAGATGCTGCTGAGATCCAGTGTTGCTCCCTAACTTTACGGTTTACCTTACTAGCAGATATCACTGCTGTTTCCACAGCTTTTCGGATATCGTTCCATGCTGCATCGGGGTGGGCATCACATACATGGCTGCCTAACTGTTTTCCTAGTTGTTCCTGAAATATATTCTTAGCTTGACTATCATTAAGTAGGGCCCTAAGAGGTTTCCTTGCAGGATCTTTCCTACGTCCAGTAAGACGCAAGCAAATACGCGCTCGCACTAGAGCATGATCTGAATCTAGGCATGTGCTCCAGAATGAGCGACAGTCTTCTATCGAGCCCCTCCATCGGTGGCTGATAGCGATGTGATCTATTTGGGTCCAACGTTGGGACGAATTAGGGGGTCGCCATGTTAAAAGATGTTTTTCCTTATGCTTAAAGTTAGTATTTACAAGGAACAGGCGGTTATCTGAGCATAGCTGCAACAGACGGTCGCCATTATCTGTTCTTTGAGCCACGACACCATAGGATCCACCTAGGTGTCTTTCCTTATCGCTTAGTTTACCTACTTGAGCATTAAAGTCACCGGCCACTATTACTACATCCGAGCGCTTAGCTTTTCGGAGAAGGTCCGAAAGCTTTCTGTAAAACTCATCTTTTACATCATCTGAGCTGCAGTCAGTGGGAGAATAGGCAGAGACGACGAAGAGGCAACGACGAGTGTCCCTATCTTTCCGGATTCTTACTGTCCCGTTCAGTCGGACAGCGCACAAACGACTGTGTACTGGGATCCACTCTAAGAGAGCTAGTTCTGCCCTAGGACTCAATGCTATACCTACGCCGGCAAGGCCACGGGAAGCAGAATCAGGGCTTCCAGATACACGAAGCGTAAATCGAGTCGGTTCTTTATTTTGGCATGGTGAGGTCAAATGAATGACGCTACTCGGATCCTGTATGCGCGTTTCGGAGACGCAGCACACATCGATGGCGCGAGATTCTAAAGTCCTAGCTAAGGAAGCCTGCTGTCCTATTTGGCACAGTGTTCGTACGTTAAAAGCTCCTACGTGTAGTTTAGAGCGTGGTTTCAGGAGACCAGGAATGGCGTTCCACGTACTCGAATCGTTTGCCCTAGCGGTGCGAGGTGATAAAGAGACGTGAGGAGGGTTAGTCGGGAGGATAAGAGAGGTATTAGGAGGTGTAGGAAGGATTTGAATGTGACCACCTTGGTCTCTTGTGCTGTTACGGGTATGAGGGCTGATGTCACTTCCCGGCTGCCCACACCGTGGAAGGGTATTTCTTGATGAACCTGAAAAGGAAATTGGATTAGTGTTGGTCTTGACGACCTGGGAGCGTGACCGCAGAGCCCAAGGGACAACTGCTTGAGGCCGGTCGCGCACGGCCTTTTTGTGGAAGGTTTTTGACGTGTTAGCTCCGTTCTTCAAGGGGCCTTACCGCCGGAGACGGAAATCCGTGAGGTAAGGTGAGGTGTGCATTTTTAGGGTCGACCTTTTCTAACCCCACCCCTCCTTGTGGGAAGGCAGCATCGCTGTCATGCTGGTTGTCCGAGGGAAACACCTTACTGCTGTCACACCTCTCTACAGTCAGCAGTACGACTTCGCCCTCAGACCTTGAGTTGCTGCTTTTAGTCTTACCGTTCGCCAATCGACCTGCCTGGCATGGTAGAACCTGCAGGAACATATGTTCCAGCCAATATAGCTCGGTTGGGTCATCACGATAGGCAAGCCCGACCACCGCGTCAAGGTAGCAGCTTCGATCGGGAAGTCGTTGAAGCATTGATACACGCAATCAGAATAACTAAGGCGACAAATGCAACCTATTATTCATGACTAGACCGAAATCAGCATTAGCTTTCAATACAATCGTCGCACCTAAAATGCCTAACGCTGACTTAAAGTACACGAATTGAAATTCCTTTTTCCTATTTGTCAGTAGCTTCAATATAAGGTCATGATAAAACATCTGTGAATGTTAATAACTGATGTCCCCAGTGAAAAAGTGCGAAGTATTGTCCTACCGTTGTTTTGTTTGAACATATAAACAACAGCATGAAGCCGAGCCATGTTAACAGACATAGATTGCCAGGTTATCGTTAGTACTATAACAGAGATCGACAGTTGGAGACTTCGTCTTACAACTCGGGATCACTTACAATGGTGCAGGTGTGTCCTTTATCTTTTTTTCAGTCTTGGATCCTGGTATTTCTTCATATGTACCTTTCTAATCTGCTTATCCTAAAACTTATTCTTAATGTTTAATACTTTACATTGCCACCGCTGCCATATTATTCTAATCTCTTTTGCCACACATCTTGTTAATTTCATTTCGTCGTGCTAATGAGGTATGTTAATTTACACCAACACACATTTTTACTAGGTTCTATGTTGATGACTGACTGACAAAACAGAACAATAAGCGAAATAAAAATAAGAAATTATAGGTAATGGTACTGAAATCCTGTAAACATACAGTTACACATGGGTCTTAAACCCAGCAACTAAGAATAATAGTAATAATAATGATACAATAGAAAGGTAAATACAATAAAACTGGATACAAATATGTGTATAGAGGTAATGAAAGAACAAAAAAGGGAAAATTAAATTACTCCAACTAAATCAATCACTATTCGTGACCATTACATCAACAAGTTTATATAGCACACGCATACACAATAGACACAAACACCGCTGGATGTCATGAGGTTGAAAAATTCTTTGTTGACACTTGTCCACACATATATTGTACAAGTTATACGAATGAAATATGAACTAAAAAGGGTCTCATCGTATGTATGAGAAACCCCGTTTTTTAATCAATATTTATAAATGTATATAACGTATAAGTCATTTTGATGTTATGATAAGACAAGTACTTTTGCAAACCAAAAAATTAATGTTAAAGATTACTACTACTCAATCTACACTTCAGACATAACCAACCAAAATTATGTCTTGATAATAAACATTGCTGATGTAGAACTTACAGAATTCTCGCGTAAGCATGTATGCACTCGAGAATAAAAGCAACAAATATTATTTGGATAAGAATAGAGAATTCCTTTTTACTTCACACTTTTACGCCGATAATCATGATATACAATATATAGTTGTGTTAGTCTAAAGAGGCGTGGTTTTGGAAAATCTATAATGCAACATGTTCCATAAAATGAAAATACATTGGAATCCCAACGTGAGAAAAATCCCATAGGTAGGAGTAGATGGTAATAATATAATCACAATAAAAGATGAAGCAACAAATGCCATAGAGATGGATTAGAATTGATTGACAAATATGATTTATTAGTGTATTAATATTCACAAAAAGATTTATGATAAACTTTGTAAAGACCATCGGTGTGCGAAGAAAATCAAAATCAAAGGCATTGAATAAATATGAAAAAAGAAAACAAGTTGTGTTGTAGTAGGAGCTGATATCGTCTTAATATTGATTTTGTCGTGAAAGGCGTAATGAAAATGAGAGGAATATATCAAAGGTTTAGAAGATCCGGAATCCTGTCCGTGATCTCACAGTTTTCGAATTTTGGGACAACGTACTTCTGGATTGGCGCGAGCTAGTTCAAGACGACCATTTGCTTGATAATCATAAGCACACTCGTGCTGATCGGAATATCGATGTAATGAGCAGAACAGTCCATCGCAGCGGCAAGCGAAACCTACATCAGCCCAAAACAAATCAAGAAAGACGCGATAACTCCTAACTGTATGTATAAACTAACCAATAAAAGACGATACTTCGGAGAGTGCCTACAAATTTAAAATCAAACGAATAGAAAGAAGTCCTCAGGAAGGCCTGAGTGTTTGGGATCACATACATTTATTGCAAAAATGTTTTGAATCCAAATAAACATACGGTTCTTTAGATACCAACTGTCTTTAAGTTACATAGTTGAATAATGGTCTTGATGAGTATCAATAATCACATAACTGTAGCTACTATTCAGATGAAGGAGTCAAGTCATTTTAATGCGCTAATCCAATTGACCTTACGAAGCTAAAATAATTGTCAACTAAAATCTCACAGGTCAGCTGGAGGATGTTATGGTTGAGATTAATGGGGGTCCAATAGGAGAAAAAAGTACTGCTAATACCACTGTGGTGGCATTTTCTGCGAATAACTGGTATTCGCAGCGATATTTTTTACCAGAGTGAAGGAGGGGTTAGAAACGTCGACTTTGTTGATATACATTGGGCATTGTGATCATGTTTCCAGGTCGATAAAACCGACATTAACACTGTTCGTTCTTTTACCCATTCAATAAATGTTCCCCTACGGTTTTGGTAACCGGGAAATGACAATCTACATATTTGACCCCTTTGCTATTTACTCACTGACTTTCAACGTAGGTCTTCTTTTCTCGCTATCGATTATTCTTTACTGACAAGTTAGAGTGATACACATTTGTGGTATCCATGACTATGACTGACTTGTCAACGCAAAAAAACTGAAAAACTGAGCTGTCCAGCTGAATAAAACTGTAGTTCAACTTTATTGAATGAATTAATAGACGACCGAAATTCATACCATACTAGACTATCTATTTTAGATAAAACGCAGAAGAACAAAGTGAGAAATATGCGTGTATCTATAAAGTAAATTGATGTATCGAGGGATGTTACGTAAACTGTCTAGAATTGTGGGAGGGCATTTTGAAACTAGTAATAAGTGGGACATTTCACTTTACACGTTATCTAACACTGTAAAGAATGCTCACTAACCTGTCAGTCCAACACGCTTGCGACACCAAGTGCAACGATTGACGCCAAGAACGGGACGGGAAGCTGATGAGTCGGCTGAAATAATATAAAAAATAGTCACATCACAAAAAGCGGACAAATCTTGTCAGTGGTCAATAAACAATCTGACAATACACATACCACTACCTTATCAGTGGTGAACGGCTATCATCCAGTTTGAAAAAAACCGTAGAAATAATACGCAACCCATTTGCTAATTACGAACTAATGTATTCGGTCTTGGGTCACACTTTTAACTGAGGGTTGATAATATTATCCGATTGCACAAACTAAAGCAGTGACAAAACGGTTCAATCGAGGATGATCCAATCACTAAACCACTGCGTGGACTCTACCAACCAATATAGGGAAACACAGAATGATAATTAAATATACACAATGTACAGTATCACACATATTTATGAAGATACAAGCTACCTGCATTCATATAAGCAGAATAACATTGAAAGTAAACGTTATAAGTTTATAATACCAATAATGATACCAAAATAAAAGCAGGGACATAATTGAAGACGGTTTTGAATAAAATGACCAATCAATCACAAGCAATGTAAGAACTCAGCACAAACGTGCATCGCCTCAAGTCGCCACAACATATCAACATAAGATGGAATTTATCAAGTTGAATATCAGAGTATTAATAGTATCCGTGACAAAATTTATTTTTATTTTTTATTTGAACACAAATATTGGTACAAGAGAGCGCCAATATATATGCGCCACACAAAACGATGAGAATTCGAGGAGAAAAGAAAATAAAAAGGTAAGGAGTGTAAAAAAAAGAGAACAATAAAAAAGAGATTGGTGTAAGGTAGTGGGGTAGTAATGAGGGAACGGAAAGGTACAATTGGAGGAAATCTTTCAGGTAAGGGAGACACAACCACTTTAAATGAAGAAAGTATAAGGAGGTTACAACAGGATTGCCACTGGCTTCTATTCTGAGCCATATCTGATAACGTCTCTAGCCACTGTGTAGCACCATCTCTCGGACCCCAACCAAGTAAGGTAAGATTGGCGCAGACCAAGGCATGGTCAGAGTCCAGATAGGTACTCCAAAAGGAGCGGCAGTCTTGTACAGTGACAAAATATCAGACAAAGAATGATTAAAGAAGAAAGGATTCGCAGAAAAAGTATGAAGTAGTTTTGAAAATCATGATATAGAAGACAAAGATCGAGTGCATCAACGCGGCTGTCATCAAGTCTCAGTCACACGTGAACAAAGTAAAAAAACAAATGATCGGATCATAGCATATTTTAAACACCATACCTTTGGAAGTTTCTGCAGAGACTGAGGGATTTGCCTTTCGTTTAAGCGCACGAGATAATTGGGAAGATGTTGTAGGGTCTGACTGATTTGAAGTGGAATCTTTGGGAGAGTGTTCACAGCAATCTAAGAGCTGTGACTTTCGATTGTCTGGTATATCAATTGAAGTGGAATGAACAAGTGTAGCTTGCTCCAAGGTAGAACTACATTTAATATGCTCCTGATAACATTTGGAACACATATCTTTGAATCGAACACTTCCATAGAAGCCACAACCACGTTTGCACATGTTTTTGTTCTCAGGTTTATTTTCCAGCTCTGATGTTTCGTTATTCTGTAAAGACAATGCAATATAAAAAAAGTTCACTAGCTAACAGGAATTTCTACATAAGGATATACATACTGAAAATAGACTGACTGACAATGGAGACGGTTGACTTCGGATCTCAAATAATGTTAAAACAAGACCTAGAAATGTCGAGTCAAGCAGAACACTATTCAACGTGGGTTGCATGGAAAATACTTGATAGTTCGACGTAAATATCGCAATAGCGATACTTTAAATCACTCGTCAAAAGTAAAAGAACCACCCATAAACTTACTTCGAGTGACAGTAATCAAAAAATATCCAGATGACTTCGGCTGATATATGAGTACTTATCCATCTTCAATGACCTGCTACGCCAACTTTCCAAATCTTGTTTAATTATTACGTGACCCTTCGATTTCTAATTCCAAATAATTATAACCTCATTGCTCCAAATCTTTTTTCAAATGGCTTGAACCTTACGTAAATCTCTGTTATGTTTCCTAACTACATTTAATTACTGCCTTACACCCCTCCTATATTTCTGAATTCCATCTGCAAATGATCTCATGGCTGTTTTACAGAGATATATGTATAGTTACTACTGATAACGCTTGTTATTATAATTCTTTTCGTCACCCATTTCAATTACTTGACATTACACGTGACCTCACTGTTACATTTTAATATCTACATGGTTGTAAGCAGCTCTTGAGAAACCAAGAAGTATAATGTATTCATATTACTCCGCCTCGTGTCATTTTGGCTTTATTCAAATTCGTAGAGGGGACCAAATGCGTGAAATGATTTGTTACTTCGCTCAAGATTTAGATGCAGACAAAATGTGAATGTCTTTTTGTGACCTATTCTGAAGAATGTAGCCAACCAATGGTTAGGGTAATCGCAAGGTCCCCAAACCGGTAGTCTGTACCTACACATACGGCTCACTTCAACATTTATTGACGTCTCGGATTAATGCTCCCTCCGGCTCTCTTCTGACTTACGTACTTTTACATCGTCTAACATTGTGTATAGTTGATTAAAGATACGTTATACATATTCCAAACAAGTTATTCGGTGAATTTTAAATGATTTTAAATAATCACTAATTTTTCGGTGGTGGTTATTCTGTTGGAAATATGTTGTCCAAACATATTTTTATTTTGTAAGGCAAGAATAACGAACATTATGGAATGAAATAAATTTATGCTCTAATGCATTCCCATACGCAGTGATTTTTACAAATAAAATGTTTTAAAATTGCAATTGTGCTTATCGTTCATGACTTTGCATATCTATATACTGCTGACTATCTGATAGGAAGCACAGACAATCCCATCTACATCTAAATCTTGTTTTTCAACGATTATAACACCAGGGCATCACTGTAAACATTCAGAGTTGCCAAATTCGGTACACTTCATTAAATTTTCCTAGTATACCACTGACAATAAAGGCATTTGTTTGTTGGAAAAAAAGGATCTATTCTGGATTACCCATAACCGACGACTATCAGTGAATTGTAAACATTCAACATATTGACAGATCTCTAACGTAGATTTATGCCCAACCGCGTCTTTTATGAGCTTATTAACAAACCAATTTTGAGATTCCAGAACAATCAAACTACATAGCAGTACAAGGAAAGCATTCATCTATGTTTAAAAAAATCGCCAAGTCATCTATGCCTGCCTGCCATGATATCCAAGCAACTATAAGAATATATGCAGACACATCCGACTCAACAATCGGTGATCTTACAACAATGGATATATAATCTGGATTCTTCTCTGGAGTGTTGCGAGATACTGAATCGAGGCGTAGAACTCTTAGCTGTGTGGTGTAGTAAGCGGCATCTGAAGGCCAGGAACGCACCATTTTCACAAATCGTAAACACCCTTGAGGTTGCAAAATCAGATGACAGCTCCCCATAAGCTCTGACTCGAGTAAAGAGCCTTCACAAGGTTTATGTACTACCGTAGTAAACCTTTCAATGACAGACACTGCCACAGAACCTCTCGGTCTAGAGCCAAATGCTGCATCTAAGTCAAAAGAAACTATCATTGTCGGACGCAAATAAGCATGCCTGTGTTCTAAAACCTGACGAGCGGTAAATATTTGGTCGATGCAGCCACGATTAGTTATGAAACCAGTCTGATTTTCTTGTGTTTGCAGTTCATGAGTGTTAGGGGCCCGATAATTATTGAGCCTATTATTTTAGATGCTATATTAGTCAAACTAATCCCTTTATGGTTATCGCAGGATGATTTTGACCCCTTTTTATATATTGGGACAATCGGTGATTGCGACTAATCAAGATGGAATTACGTCCAACTTCCAAATTTTAACTAAAATATAAGTCAACCTAATAGCTAAAAATGGGCCACCATACTTAAAGACCTCTGAAACCAATCCACTTGCACCAGCTGCTCTTCCTCGTTTCAGATTAGCTTTAGCCTTTTGGACTTCAACTAGAGTCGGAGGGACAATCCAATGCTCCATCCAGGATGTTTGGGAATGGTGGGTAGTTGTAGAGTAGTTGAATTGCTTCTCAGTGTTCCGCCCATCGCTCTAAACATCTGGGCTGAGAGCAGATAAGTGTCGTCTTTTTCCTAGATCGTCTTACACTTCATTTTTTAATTCTAGTTTCTTTTATTAGTCTGAAAAGCTGTCTGGTGTTACCTACAGCCGCTGCCTTTTCCATATCTTGCTTTCATTTCCCACCACTGCTTACGGTCGTTCCTTAGACTTTTAGTTAACCTAAATCTAATTTGTTTTCGTTCTTCATAGTGTTAGGATAAATTTACGAGAATCTATCAGTGCAATAGACTTATTAAAAATCAACTGGTTTTTCGTGACCCTTTGGTTTAAATCACTAATAAATGTCACTACTTTCCATCAGTCAGTCAGTCAGCTACAACGCAGGACCAGGCACATATGTGCATCGGTCCAGGTTGCCATACCGCATCAGCACAACAAGATGAACACCGGATTCACAGCAGTGGTTAGGTCAAAGGTGGTAATATATAAGAGATAGATTGCCTATAGAGATATAGTACAAGAAAGAGTTGGTTCGTAGAAAGAAAGATATGAAGTGATTTTAATCTCTTAGTTTAAGGGGAGACAGGGAGTGTATACACCGACGCCATTGTGAACGATTCTGAGCCATGTCACTAAGAGTCTCCAACCATTGGTTACGATAGTCACGCGGACCCCAACCAAGTAGTCTGCATCTACCAACATGGCTCAGACTAGAAGTTAGTGACTTCAAGCACTGATGCCACGTTATGGTTTGGCCGACCCTAATTTTCTTCCAACCATCCCGAATACCGGTTAGCGTTGCACGTCGTGGTAATCGGTGTTCAGGCATACGTAACACGTGGCCCAACTATCTCAGTCGATGAAGATTCACAACCTCATCAACAGATTTACCATCATTCCCTAATACCCTGCGTTTAACCTCACTATTACTTACCCGGTGATCCCAGCAATATTTCTAAGGCATCTGTGGTCAAATACTAATAGCTTACGAGTGTCTTCTACTCTTAATGGCCATGTTTCGCTGCCGTAAAGTAAAACAGAACGGACTGCCGCGCAGTATACCCGTCCTTTTATTGATAGACGGATATCTCGCCTTCGCCAAAGGTGACGCAAGTTGGCAAAAGCCAAGCGAGCTTTTCGAATCCGTGCTGAGATTTCGTCAGACACCAACCCATTAGGGCTGATCAGACTCCCAAGATAAGTGAAGTTGCCAACGCGTTCGACTACTTCACTCCCTATCCTTAGTTCAGGTGTTGACGCAGACCAGTCCTGAAGCAACAACTTGCATTTAGAGGGAGAGAAGCGCATTCCAAACATTCTGGCATTGTTGCTTAGTGCTACCAAAAGACTCTGCATTTTGTCAGCGTCTTCACCAAACAGGACTATGTCATCTGCGTATTCTAAGTCGATAAGTTGACCTCCATCCAGGAGGTCCACTACTTTCCATAGCTGATTTTATGTCTTTCCAAGAAACATCTGGGTCAGCCCTGATTTCAGAACTACCTAAGTGTGACCTCAGTTGTTCCTGGGATCTACTCTTAGCTTTCTTGTCATTGGATTCAACTCTAATAGGTCACCCTAATATGGTTTTTCTGCGTCCAGTGAGGCGCAGGCAAATGCGTGCTGGAATTAGAGCATGGTCAGAGTCTGAACGTGCACTCTAGGTGCCTTGCCACAGATAAGTTTTCGAACCGTTTTTACGGGGTCAACCTTGTTGAACTACACTAACTTTAATGAAAGGACTACAATGTCCATCACAAGTTGTCACTGATAACTCCGAAGACCCAGCTTAAATAAGAACAGGTGAGGACAATTTACTACTAATTCATTCAGAAATAAAGATCGTTTAACTATCCCGAACTAATACCGTCACGTCTTGAATATGTTGCACTACTTGTAATATCCAGGTGTTCGGATCCTGTTGCTCCTATCTTGGTTTGGACAACTGGACATTCACTAGGCCTCACAGTGTGGCTCGTAGCTAAGTACACGAATTCGACTGTGTCAATCTTGATCTCGCAGAACAAAGTGAGCACTTCTACTTCCTAACAAACCAGAAGCAACACCAAGCAAGCACATCACTGTTGAGATGGTAGCGCGCACTTTTGTCGAACTGAAAATTTAGATTTAAGACAAGTTGGTCACTAAAACCTGACTCGAATACTTTGAAACTAAGCACTTAATAAAAGTAATAATAAAGATTACTAGGAGCCCATAAAACACAAAAAATTAACATTATTAGCACATATAACTGATTATGTATACCCGGTTATCTAGATGACAGTATGTAACATGGTGATCTAAGTTTAGTTCAGCAAAATACTATTAAGCACAGTATCACGTATCAACTAATAAATTACGGGGATAAGTTAGTATACTGCAGAAGATAACCAAACGGAAAAATAGTATATCGCTAGGATATGACTAGTTTGAATTAATTTGCTTTTACTAAACAAATAGGTAACTGATTTTCGAAAACATGTTTATAAATACCACTTGAGTAAAAGTGAGGACTACTACCAGTTATTTACTTGGTAGAAAAAATAAACACATGAAATAAACTTGGGTTACTTTTAGTTTGGTTATTCATCCTCTGAAGTGGCTTACACTAAGTCATGAAACGCCAGAAAATCTAATTTTTCTACTCATTGGGATACTACAAATATATTATGCTTTTATAACAATCTACTCAACGCTCAATTTATTCGAAATTACCAAGTCAAACCTTGGTAATGATACCTACAACCAAATAAAGTATTACTTATTTTGTACCAGCAAGTTCAGGTAGAAGCACTGACTTGAAATACAAAGGTAACTAGATTCATGTCTTCATTCTTTCGGTTAAGACGACATTTTGTTAACTTATAACATTGGTACCTCTAGCTTTCCGTTCCAACGTGCACTGAAGTATGCCCAGGGTACAAACTCTAGGAAGACTATCCATAAACTATTACTTAAGTTTGACTAAACGGGTTGCAAACAAGACACCAATTTTCAGAATTTACTAAAGGTTGTAATTCAAACACGTTTATTACGATCCACTAAGCCCAATCTGTAAGATTATTCTATATCACATGGGTGAAACTTATTGAGACCACATTAACTGTATTGTATTACTTTTAATGTACCAAAAGATGTACTGATATCTCCATATTTTAATTTAGAAAGGTTATTTGCCCACGAAGGTCCTAGCTAAATCGCCCAGTACTGGGTTACGTATTAATAAGTGTTGATAGAACTTACGTAACAAACTAAAAGTCTGGGGTACAATTAAAAAGATACTAATTAAGTTAAATCAACATTTATATCTGGTTTACGAACGGTTAATTATATATAACCAAGTTGTAAAACCTGGTTACATTATGTCTATAATTCTTGGCGCACAAACGACGTCGTGTTACAAATTAATTATAGTCACCAAATCAAACTAACTAGCGGCATACCATTCTCAAGAACTATCAATGAAAGACAAACCCCTTGCCCGCCAAAGCCGACAAGGCAACAGGAGGATATCAGATGTGCACTGAGCACAGTCGAAACAAACAAAACTACTACACTCCTTATACGAAAAGGTAGTATATAAATAAATTTATGGACCTTACATCATACATGATACCGGAAAGTAGGTAAATTTTTAAACCTGATGACGTCAAATTAACACACTAATGTTGTCAGCATATCCGACCAACGTTAGTTTCTATCTTCGAACGCCATATGGGTTGCTTGTAAACAGGATTACTCTCCCTCACCTTATTCTCAATTCTGCCTACCCATGGCTTTGTATATAGAATACTTGCATCGCGAGTATCGTTTTCAAAAGCAAAAGTAGAATAGATGACCTATAGTAACATATAACTACCTTCAACATATAGCCTTACAAGCATTCGACATTGATGCTGACTTTGACTTCAACTTTTCCAGACAGAATAAGGGAACTGTTTCCTCCTTGATTTTAGTTACAGAGAGGTATGTTTTTGATTCATTCCTCCTCAGTAGTAAGTAAATTCCGAAAACAAATGACTTTGTAGGTTTTCGACATTGATATTGACATTGTTAGTCTCATTGAACACACCCGTAGCTGGAGGTGCTTGTTCAAACATCTACACCAGACCACGTTTGCGCACACCGTGCTGTGAGTCTCTTGCGACAACTAGTCAGCCTAAATTCCATACATAGCACGGATTTTTTTACCCATGCACACGTTCACATCTCACCATCCTTGACTTCTGGCTATGTTGGTTTTGGAGTCTTTGGGTAAGAAGTTCCAGAAATCTGAGCTTTTCAACTATGTCTAGACGTGACGCCTGTAGCGGTAAGTAAATCCTCATTTCGAGTCTGGACTTTTCCGTTGTCTTACTACACTATTAGGAATCACACGATTCCGAACGACCTCCTGCAACCTACAAGCTAACAAGTTGGTGGGATGATTTCACTGTCAGTTAAATAATTTACTCTCAACTGCAAACGCTTTACAGTAGACCGACGCTCTCCCACTCGTGTCACTGGGTGTTTGCAATGCAATGAAAATTGACGTTGGATACATTACGGTACGATTTGTTTACGCAACGAAACTCAGACATCCAGGGGGAATCCGTGGATCCTTCACCTTTTTCAACGAATACGGATCTAAACCCTTACATTTGCAGATTTACAAATGCCATGCGTTCAGGTAAACGTGTTTTCACTCGACCTCAATCAACTGATGTTTTCGTTAAACCTGTCTTATCATACAGTACACACGTTCCATTGCCAAACAACGAAGACAATACTAAGTCGAGCAAATGAAAGAAAGGTCAACAGCATCAAGCATACTGAAATTAGATGCAACACTACGTTTTACCACTAGCTATAAATAGACTTATATATGTCAAATCTAATGAATAATCTAAATCCCAAAACTAATCCAGGAGGGTTTGACATGTTATTTGGTACTTATCAACATATATGCATTTTCACTTGGACTAGCCATACATATTTTATATGAACCACTTCCCAAACTGTTTTCGATAGAAGATATATTTCATAACTTTAAATGACATATCATTATGAGTGTGTCGTTTTCAGAAGAACTGCATTAGACTGAACAATAATTTGATACTTTTTAGTTCTAACCATCGTTGCTACATATTCATGAATTTACAAGGATAGCTGCGGTAACCATTTATGAAATTCTATATTATACCCGTCTTTTAACTGTAATTCCTTATGTCTGAAATTTAAAAGAAATTTTCGCCAAGTTTATTTTTTTAATTTTGTATTTCATATAAATGCGCACGTTAACTTAACCTATACATGCATTGTATCATAACTCTATCCTATTTGAATTTAGCAATTATTTGAACTGTCCTCAACATATTCAACTAAATCCATTATAGTCGTTATTGCTATGTGTATTTGCATTTAGGAATTGAGATATCACTTTAGTTGCCTTAAAAATACTTGCAACATGGTTCAGATAATAAGATTACCTCACTACTGCACTATTACACCAGTATAATGTAGCGGTAAATAATTCCCCAAAATAAATAGCCCTGTAAGTTTTCGACATTGGATGCTGACCACATTTTTTAATGGACTCACCTAGCTGAAGGCGCTCGGTCATGCATCCGCATCAGATCACGTGTGGGAACGCCATGCTCAACATCTACTGCAATCGTTAGCCAGACTAGATCAGACAATTCCGACATATTGGCAATCGTCAAATACAACTCCTGATCTCCTCGATTCTGTCTTTTGATTTCTTTTGGTGGGTACGAGTTATATTAGATGTTACTGGTAAAAGCGTTATCAAACACTGTATACCTGTGCCATCTTCAATAATAACTAACCAACCAGGCAGTTGTCGACTAAACAAGCATTTGAAATAAAAAATCCTGAGCCCACTCTTAAAATTAACAATATGTAGATGGATAATTTTGAATTGCACTATTTAATTTAATCACGCACCTCGGATGCGGTAACGCTACAAACTTCTGCTATTTCAGAATCACCTAAAACAACAATATATATTATCCACTTGGTAATTCCCAATCAACTCTACAACTTGTTAAACATAATGGTTTCTGGACTTCGTCATGAAGAATTGTCATGACTTGACAATCACATAATATGATTGATAGGGTTGATGAAACTATTGACAAAATCAGTCAACAAATTTGCCTTTAATTATCATAAAGTAGTGTTGTTTCCTCTTTATCTTTATCCATTACGGAGGATTTTAGCTTGTCGCTCATTCGACAAATACCTTAAAACCTTGTCAGTCTGGTTGGAGGTTTAGCGATAAAACCACGCATGTAAATCACCAGTGTAAACAGTAGAGCAAATCACCTGAAAACACCAATACTGACCAAGGATCAAACGGTTATCATAGACGTGAGTCGGGAGTTGTAGTCCGCTTGGCTATAACTTATGTTCTTCCTGATAATCACATAGTCATCACTCATTGACTATCAGCTTGTAGAAACTTATTTAGCCGGAAGTGTCGCACAGCATCATGTCAAACATTTATGGCACATTTGTTGTGTTAATTTTGTAGCGGTAAATAAATCCCCAAAATAAATAGCTCTGTAAGTTTTCGACAATGGATGCTGACCACACTAGTTTTAGTGGACTCACCTACCTAAGGGCGCTCGGTCATGCATCCGCACCAGATCACGAGTGGGAACGCCGTGCTCAACAACCCTCGCAATCGCTAGCCAGATTAGATCAGACGTTCCTCGATATATTGATAGTCTGTCAAATATATCTTCGAACCTCCTCACTTCTGTCTTTTGATTTCACTTGGTGGGTATGATTCATATTAGAAGGTGTTACTATTTAAAGCGTTGTCGAACTCCGAATACCTGTGGCATCTCCAATTTCAACGGCTTATAATCACTGAATTTCAAATAAGTCGTTTTCTGCCTTATGCGGAACTCGATACTTGCAACTAACTTGTATACACCATCGCAAGTCTGAACATAGAGTCCAGAACATGTCTCTCACGAATACATTCATGTTCAACGAATTGCTCTTAGTCATCTGCCAAAATGCATATTATTATCAACACTTTTACGTTAAAGAATTTTTGGTGACCATTCATATGTATTGGCAGTTTTATTAAATCATATCACAGTCAAATAATAATGAGGTCAAGAAAAATCTCCCTGCGACTAAATAAACCGTATTAAACTTGAAAAACTAACTGCAACACTAGTTGGAATTCTTCCTCTCCATGGTAATGCTTTTGTTCTTTCAGTTAGCCTACTAATGCAGATGTAGTTAGGATTCAACTCATAGGCACAGCATGCCAAAACAAACGTAAACTAACTTTATAATTTCAAAAGAGAATAATATCACTAGCAACACTTCCACAATACTGATTATTTTTGAATTTCTAAGAACAACTTATGTGTACTACCTATAAGTTAAGCTATTAACTATTGGCTATTGCTACGCATCTTACTGCGATTTATTAAAATATCTCTACACGAAATCGTACCTGAATATTGTAATCTGTTTTTTGACTCCTGAATAATCTTCACGTAGATTTTCATTTTGTGAGTGTTAAGAATTAAACCAAGCATTTGAAATTGATACACCTATTTCCCCATCAATTGCTGCCTCCTTCTTTTTGATTTTTCTTTCTGCTGGTCAATACCGGGGGATTCTTATTGTTCTCGGTAACCTCCGGCGCGCGACAGACCTATACAACTTGGTATACAACCATTGTCACGTTGATTCTGGCGGGAGAGCATTGTAGTGGTATTGCACCCTAACCACACGAACCTTGAAGCCGAGCATATAATTACTGCAAAGACTTATACTCAACAACTGACATAAAGAGAAGGTCAACGATAGAGAGGGCGAAAAGATTTATTTCAATTCAGTCGGATGGCATGGCTCTTCATTACTGCATTGTACTCAATGTCTTTTTATAGTAAAAGAAGAAGACCAGACGCTGCTGAACATTGCAACCTATCAGGAGAGTGTTCACCAACGACAAACTCATTGAGTTTAAACTTCTGTCTGTTCACATCTTAGGGCCATCACTACCCCACTAGAAGGGGGAGTGATCTGTAGAGGTAAATAAATCCGCAAAAGCAATAGCTTTGTAAGTCTTCGACATTTGATTCCGACCACATTAGTTTTAATGGACTCATCTAGCTGAAGTGGCTCGGTTAGGCATACGCAACAGATCACGAGTGGGTACGCTGTGCCCAACTTCTCCTACAATAGCGAGTCAGATTAGATTGGTCACTTCCCGATATATGGATAGCTTATCAACTTGTCGTATCGTAGGACACGAGGTGACCTTACACTGGAAATTCGCATCATTAACTGCGATTCGAGTATTTTTATGTTTCACCTTTTTGCTCCCTCCGGTACTAATAATCTCCGAGGTCATAGCAAGAACACTCACAAACTACGTTCTAATAAACTTAATGTGGTGTACCTTTTTTTTCATCTCATCGTCAATGACTTGAAGGCCTTACCCGAACAAGTGGCATCAGCCGATTCAGTGAACATGCTCAAGGAGAAGGTGGACCCTAATTGAAAGGCGAACCGTCAAGATTAACACAGGTCCACCAAACTACAAACTTAATCACTGAAAACTGAAATACATCTTCGAACCTCTTTGTTTCTGACTTCTGACTTCATTGGGTTGGCACGTTTCAATTATAGAAGGTGTAACTGGTTAAGATGTTGTCCCACTGCGAGTACTTGTGGCATCTTCAAACTCGTTACCAAGGTGACTTGAGGAGATATAGCATCGATATAGCATGCATACCTACATCAAGCCATCAAATGGTTTATCTATAGGACTCCGATTATGTCGCCGACATAAAAAAATCCATTCAATCCTCGTAATTTCTGTAATTTTCTTTTTCTCCCTAACTGTATGTTCTGCTCTTTTGGATCGGAAGTACTCTTGTTCAGCCGCGGCTACGAACCCGGTTATAAAAAGTGGTCATCATAGACTCAGGGTCATATATTTGATCAAGATTGGTGAGGAGTCGGATCTCTGATAACTTCACACATACACATTTTTCCTTTTAATACGATTCGTGCACAAGATGTCTACACCGTGACTTTTTCCTTCCTGATGGCAAATCCGTTCTGGAAGGCAAACATTTACCTGAAACCGGACAATTATCAATTGTATTTGTGTATTTCCCTTTTACACCTTGTTATTTTATACAGGCAGTGGAGCAGTTCTTCAGGATTGACTGATTTTCATCATTGCTTTTGAAGTAGATACTTCGTTATTTCTTACTTGACGGCGACTCACTTGTTTGAGCACCTGATAGCCGGGTAGAACATGGAAAATCGTATCTCATCAACATGGTGTTAAGTAGCACTCACCTCCTCTTCTCTTACAAGTTTCGATCAGCATGCAGTGAGCACGTTGCAAATCACCAGCGATAGTTCTGGAAGAAATGAAGTGCTTTTGGAAATCAACTCATACGTACAGAACACCGGTGAAGTCGTTGACCAACTGTCAAATTAACCTTTTGATTTATTCAAAAACGTACCCAAAGTATACTTATGTTTATACTCTTATTATTATCATCATGATTGATCCCCTGGCACATAGGATTTTATTTTCTCCATAACTTCCCGATTTTTCTCTCTTTCTTCTTAAGAAATGTTATACATGGGCATCCAAACTTTACGAATAAGAACACCTTGTATTGTAATTAAATTGAATGTCCAGATTTACTCTCTCTACACCCCCTGTATATGATCCATGAAAATTGATATTCCACGATTATTCTGTGCAACTACTTAGGACTTTCACCGAATCATACTGGACTATTACTGCATAAACTTTTATTCTGCAATTAAATCCTACTGCATCTTACTGTATAATTAAGTTTCTAAGAAAACCCAGAATGGTTTCGTAAGAACGCTTATGTACCAGTAAGTTGTGTCGAACCAGTGAAATGTCACTGAGCTCTAGCCAAATCATCCGGAAGTTGGGTCACAGTTTATTGATCCCCCTCAATGTTACGGACGACCGACGCTCATCGGTTAATCGTATGACGTGAACCGTCCCGTGCGGTGGCGATCGCAGTATCTTCTCCACACCCATTCTTACTAATATATTCTCGCGACTACGTCTTCAAAGCAGACTTAGTACCTTCATACGACGAATGGGTAATCTAAGTAGTGTGCTGATTGTGAACTGTTGGTTACACCGATCCCGCCTGACTCGAATAGGCTCACAACCATTCGACATCAGTGTTCTACGTTGGTGATTTACAGTTGAATGCGAATAATAATAATAGTAATGATAGTGATGATTTAAACCAAATATAGTGTCAATATCAGCACTGATTATTAATCTCAAATATACCGCAAGTATTCGGATTTTGACAACAACTTCACACGCAACACCTTTATTAGAAGTCAGAAACGAAGAGGTTTGAAAATATATTTGGAAAGCCATAGATATATCGGGAAGCGTTTGATCAAAGTTGGTGAACGGTTGTAAGAGATGCTTATTATGGAGTACCCATTACTGATCTGACGAGGATGTGTGACCAAGCGCGTTAGGCTAGGTGTGTTCAGCAAAAATAACGTGGTCAGCATCAATGCCGAAGACATGCAGAACTATTTATTTATCGCAGCTCGGACTTGACAACGCTGTTGTCCGTAACACCTATGTAATGGAACATACCACACCCAGTCAAACTAAAAGTCAGCAAAAAGAGTCTGAAGGTATATTTAGAACGCTTCAGTGTCGGTGATACTGCTAGTGAAGTCGTATTAACCTTTCCGTTAGTCCTTTTCGAGTGTGATAAATAAGCTAATAATTAATGGGTCTACTTCCAACATGATCATTGGTGAAATTGAAACATATAAACTGCATATTACAGATTATGTCAAACTTCGAGATGCTAATCATCTGGTTTGTACTCCTTCGGTTAGTTTCAGAATTTTATTCATTGCTATCTCAAAATTTTACTGTTCCTATGGTGCTTTGAAGGTTGTCGAAGGCGGGATGTTTAGTTTTATGACCACTCACATTTTGTTACCTAAATTACTGACATACAAATATTATAAATAGATTGATGCTACTTTGAAAAATTGTCAATAATAACACAAAGCAACCACATAGTATTTGCGATTTCGTTGTAATTTGAAGACATTCAATTTTTTGGCTTATTTAGTCTTAGCTGGATTACTTTCTTGTCTTTTGTCATATATAAATGCAGAGTTATGGGATTTTCACTCTTCTGGAAACACCTTGCTTAATGCATTTATTATAAATGCTATAATGGACGACATGAGTAAACAATCTGATTTCAAGCTATCGGTAAGAAGTTTTAGTGTTTTAAGATAATTTTAGGTTCAGGGGAGTAGTATCAGGAATTATGGCTCTCAGCCCAGGTATATGCTGTCCGTTAATCGCCTCCCCAAACACACTGATTCTCCTCCTCCTTACTATAGATCAGCCATTAGCTTGGGACCTGTGAGTTTAATCACCTTTAGATTTCTAATGTTCCTATAATTCACGTGTTAACTATGGTAAAAGTTTGGTTCTACTCAAAGTAAATATCAAGCACCGAACTACACACCGCATGATTTTGTGACTTTGAATTGAATTTCCATGGTTATAGTACTTGAAGTCTTTCTTGTTAATAAGGAAAATCTCATTCTGCATGATACTACTGAGGTAGTCAGTCTTCAGCGTTCAGTAATAAGGTTAGGTCTATCAACCTATATTAATCCTTGCAGTTTGTAATACTGTGTAGGTCCAATCTCGTTTTGAATATATTAACAGAAGGTGCTGATATTACGTGTTCCGTTAGAGAATTCCAGTAATTCACTACTCGGTGAAAGAAACGAAACTCCAGACGTAAACGATTTGATCTCGGTTTTTGAACTTTCTTCGAATGTCCTCTTAAATGATCAGTCCTAAATGGAAGTAAATGATAAGACATATTAATACCGAGGTCATTGTTCAGTATACGATAAGCCAATATTAGATCACCCCGTACTCTACGGTAAGATAACGGAAATAATTAAAGGTTTCTCAGTCTGTCTTCATAAGATAGGCTAGATAGACCTTGTACCATCTTAGTACCTCGTCGTTGGACTCTTTCCAGCATCTCTGCTTCATACTTGAAACAAGGACTCTCTGCTTGAATCCCATATTCTAAATGTGGTCCCACATAAACCGGGTATAATAATCTAAACATTTCATCATCTAAATACTCGAAAGACCCACGAATAAACCATTAAACCCTATAGCCTTTCGCAGCAGCAGTCTTACAGTGACTAGTGGTTTTGAGATCACTGCTTAATATGACTTCTAAATCTTCATAGTTTCTTACTTTGGGTAGCGCGAATTCACATATTTTATAGTGATACGATTCATCATAGTTGTTTAATTGCATCACCAAACTTATTAGGATTTACTTTTAGCGACCACCTGTCCAACCATGCCACCAATAAGCTAAGATCATTCTGCAGTACTATCCTATCGGACATACTGTGTATGGATCTCCAAATTTTTATGTCATCGGCGAAGAGTAGAACGGATGATTTTCCTATAGTTGGTAATTCGTTTACATAAAGTAAAAAAAGAGGACCGAGGATTATATCTTGGGGAACTCCACTTTTTACAGGTACCCACGAGGAGAGAGCCCCATTTACCATTACCCTTTGTCTCCTGTCATGGAGAAAGTTACTTATCCAATCTACGACTGTATAATGGATTCCAAAACGTTCCAGTTTGAATTTAAGACCAGAGTGCGAGACCATTTCGAAGGCCTTACTTAGATCTATGAAGATCACATTCACAGGAATATTCCGATCTTTTGCAACAGCCCAATCTTCTCTTGCAATGAGAAGATTTGCCAAGAATGATAGGCCTCTCCGAAAACCATATTGTCCCCTGGAGAAAAGATTATGTCCTTCCACATAGTTTATAACAGATATCCGAATGATTTTCTCCGTCAGTTTTACAACTGCACTAGTTAAGCTAACAGGTCTATAGTTACTACCTAAATCCCTACTCCCAGCCTTATACACCGGATTTATTATAGCGTATTCTCAGTCTCTGGACAGTCTGGACTGCCTCAGAGACGTGTCAAACAGTATCACTAATGGTTCAGCAATTGCATCTGCCATGGCTTTCATAATCCTAGGATCAATATCATTAGGACTACTGAACTTATCAGGTTTGAGATCCTGAAGTAGCCTTAAAACAGTATCTTTCTCAATGACTACTGGATCCATCAGCGAGCCGTCACGGTCACGATGAATCATTGGTCGTTCCTCATTACCGATAGAAAACACTTTACTAAAATATTCCGATAAAGCTTCAGCTTTTTCGGCATCATTCTCTGCTAAGATTAACGGATTGTCTCGTATCAAAAGTGATGGAATTCTATCGCTTCTCTTAGTTCACCTTTTTATATACGAGAATAACCGTTTCGGACTATATCTAGAATCTCTAACCAATTGTTTTTCATATGATCGTCTAGTCTTACTTATTAACGCTTTGCAGGCATTCTTAATCTTACAATAACTGGATCTGTATTGTTCTAAGCCAGTAGAGATGAACACATTCCAATGCTTCTTCCTTTTTCTAAGAAGTTTCCCGACTATTTTAGTTATCTATGGTGGACTGTTATTCGGTCTTCGCAGTACCAGATATGTTATGAACGGGGACGTAACTAAACGAAACTTTAAAACAGACCATGCTTCTTCAACTGATGAGCTAGTATCTACAAACCAGTCTGTCTTAGCAGCGCATTCCTGAATGGCTGATATGTTAGCTTTCCATACATTTAGGCGGGGTGTAACCTGATCATATAACATGTTCCTAGTTCTAAACATGAATCAGGAAACAGCGTGATCGCTGTTCACTAACGGCGGAAGAATATTTAGGTCAACAATATCCTCAAAATCATGGGTGATTACCAAGCCCAACAGAGAAGAACCTTGGTTAGCACCAAAACGTGTGGGTTTGGATACATGCTGCACTAGTGTATGCTCCATTATTGTTATCAGTAACCTACTATCAAAGGATTTTATAAATCCTTTCGTAGTCATCTCAGTTCAATTAATATCAGGTCCATTAAAGTCTCCTATTATCAAGCATCTGGTATTTTCACTCCAAAGATGAATGTGCTCTAAAATAAAGTCATCAGCTAAGCAGATCGGGCTGCGATAGATGACACCGAGCATAAATGCACTACATTCGATAGCCGATTTACAGCTAATGACTTCACAAGTGCCACTATCATGGGATTCGCTAGTAGAGGAGCGGATATTTATGCCATTGGCTATATATAACAGGAAGCCGCCTCCTTTTCTACATCTATGTCTATCACTCTTGATGCAATGGTATCCGGATAATTTTGGAGTAATGTCTAAGTCATGGACTAACCAAGTTTCTGTCACTGCTACTATGAGTGGCTTTAACCTGTCTACTAGTGCTTCTAGTTCATAGAACTTATTTCGTAAACTACGAGCGTTGGCATATAAAACTCCTAAGTAGAACAGCCTATCCACACAGGCCTTGGTAGCATTCGCTTCCAAGACCTGACTATTCGAAAACCCACTAGCCGGAGATTTTCCTCGCCGTTTTGCCGACGGGTTTCTAGTTCAACTAGTGCTCTCTTCCTTTTTATTCTATCTTCGAGAGACATATCAGGTCTAACTCGGATGTCGGAATTATCGCGCTACTTAACAGGGGATGCCGTTGCTTCTCCGATCCTAGAACTACCTTAAGGAGTCTGCATGGTCGGGGTTCAACATTGTCCTTGGTCCTCTTGCCTATTCTAACCAGTTTTTTTTACCTGAACTCCTTTAGAGTTATCTGGTAAGATACTACGAATATATACTCCCAGCTTCTCTAAATCATGCGCGTGTCTAATTTTGGGATCAGAGTTGTTTGACTCCAGCAATTTGCTCACAATTATTTGCTAACCACCTGCGCACTGCCTACAGCTTTTTTTGTTTCGTTTTCTCCGTACTGTAGTCCATTTCTCATCCCTCAGGACACTGGGACTATTTGGGACGGTAACGGTTTTATCCAGATCTTCAGTTTCCATTAGATGTGCATGGTTACCAATGTTAGTGTCAGTTGATACTACCCCCCCTCATTAATGTTAACGGAGATTTCACTTTTCCGTCAGTCACTGTCGGGTGTTTGAGGCCTCTCGTAACAGCACGTAATACACTGACACATTCGTCACTGCCAGTGCTCGTATTATCAGAGCATGCGCCATCGTTCTTTTTACAGGTCAAAGCCAATAGGCTCATAGCCTCCTGTATTAGTAACGTCTAATTTGCACATCAAAACATGCAAAGCCAATGTGAGTTAGGCTTCGAACACCTTTTTTATGCGGTGGGACTTAAGCTAGTGCACATCTTATGGAACCACGTTTTGCATTCATCACACTGCATTCCTTCCTCCACAGGGAACAAACAGTTTGGTTATCCACATTTGTGAGTACTACCAACCATTTTAGTCAAATTAAGGTGTAAAACACAATATGATCACAGTATGAACACAAGTGCCAGTCAACGAGTAAAAGGGTACCACAAGACAAACTTTAGCAAGATTTCAAACCTTAACTAAAGTACTTTGATATAGACCAAGAATGTGTAGTGGCGTTTTGATGTAACAGTTACACAAAAGCAAGGATAATCACAGCAAGTACAAAATCACTGCCTTTTTTGAAGCCCATTTGAAACTAACTTTGAGACATTTTGCTGTTCGCTTCATATGTATCATTTCAGGTTATGAATGACTTGAAATTCGAAGCAATATTTGGTTTTTAGCTATGGGAAGAAAAGTATTTGTGCTAAGTTAACATCTTACTGTCCGCTTTTATCTATCAAAATTTTTTCAACAGAAAATTTCTTCCTTAAGGTTCTTAGCTTTCATCGTATAAGAGACGTCTATAGCTGGATTATCATCAGTACCACATCTTTTCAGTGAAATCTTGTGGTGAGACTTCGTTAGGTTGTTTGAATGTTTATCGGGTACATCGAAGAACTTATCAGTGTGCTATACCGGCAGCTACAACCGGTTGAAAATGTTTATAAACTGTCAAACCTAGACATGATATCAACTGAAGTTGTCAGTCGTTGGTTTGAACCATGTGTAAATATGTAGTCTTCTTAATTGGGACTAGAACAATAATCTTAGTCCACGGTGGGTGAGATGTCTTAAAATTATTCTCAGTTGCACCAACTTATTTATACTCTAAACCTATGGTTTAATGTCATTCAATACACTTTATTTTTAGCCTCATTTATTTTTTGAGCTATATTTTGCATGTCTCCATTTCCATTTCAGTGGATGTTTTTTCAATCGTCTAGTTGTTTCTCAGTTGAAATTAGTGTTGCAACGTACGCCAATGGGGATTTGTGCCAGGTCCTGCGTTATAAATGGCTGACTAAATTTACGCGCATCTATATTTTTTATGTGCTTGTTATTAGACATCTTAAATTGTTTGTTCTGGTTAAGTATAGTTAGCATTAACTCCACATTTCATATGAAGCTTTTCCAAAGTAGATGAATACCTTTCCCAACGCACATAAAATTAATTTGTGTTTGCAATGAATAATTTTCACCGCATTTCTGGAGTTATTACAACTGCTATATTGTGTGTGTAACTTAGGTGAATATTACCAGTTCTCCTTAACTTTTTTGATTCTCACTTAACATCGCCTAGAGCCAGTCCCAAACCCATGTAAAGGAGGGTAGGAAGTAGGGTTAGCAACACTGCCCTCTAAAAAAGAACCTTGCTATAAAATGCAAACCAGCAAAACATCGCTAGTATTCTGAATCGTTCTCAATAATTCACTATAAAATTCGGTCCTGGTAACTTAATGGAATTGATACTTTTCTAATTTATTTCGTAGCACTTTAGTTTTAAATGTGATATTGATTTTCCTCTTTTAGTTATGTCTCAGAAGTTTCCAGTCACAACAGTTCTGTTTGTAAATACCCTCAGTCAGCGTCTATAAGTATATATATATATATCAGTATTCTTCGGGCATTTCAGTCCCGAAGTTTGTTTATTTACTATTTGTTTGGTATTTTAAAACATGCGGTTACTATTCTGCGATAGTCAGTGATTCTCAACTTAGTTGATTTCAATGTTTAAGGTACGTTTCATTATTTCAGCGTGACATAGTGTCTTTCGTTGTGGAACAAAACCCCATCCTGTGATCATATTAATTCTGTAGTAAAAGCTGGAAACTCTGGTAGTTAGTTTAAAATTCCCTTTGATATTTCGCAGCGGTCCTACTATCGTTTAAGCTGCCTAAGTTGTGTCCATGTACGAAAGTCTGTGTCGTATCTAAATGTTGCATTTTTAAGTTAAGTGTTAGGTTAAATACTTACTTATTACTTATTTGTTTTAGAAATCAGGTTCCACATTATGGAATAGCACCACATCAAGTCTCGGTGGCAATGTAAATGACAGATCAAGTGACTTGAATGGTCGCTTTTCAAAACTTGATCTAAATGAAAGCACTAATTCAAGTAAAAAGTTGTGCAACGGTTATCACACTGATTATTGCTCGACCAAAAATCTCCAGTCTATAGATCGACGGGAATTTTCGGAAATCAATAACACTTATAGCAGCAGGAATTCTGTACGTTGTTTGGACTCTCCAGTAGCTAATCCTCCTCGTGCACCAATCAGTCTTCCAGTAAACTCTCATCACTCATATCACAGAGGTGGACTTGTGGGCCTTAACAATCTTGGAAACACTGTAAGTCAAATGTTATCATCTTTGTAGCGCACATTTTAATTGAGAAAATCTGAAGTATTAATTATCGTATAGCTTTACCATTAATTCAACGAAGTAAAATCTCTAAAGTGTTACAGTATGTAGATTTACATATTTTATGTGGAATTATTGTAATCTAAAAATGTGTAACAAATTCGTTCATAAAATAATTTACTGCAAACTGATTTTTCAAAGTGACGCTGAGCTAGTTTTTAGCATTTAGCATTAATATATAAACGTTTTTAGTTTGTATCAATCAAATAACACTTAAACTCACTTAAGACACATTGAGCGATCAGATAAGCAAACAAATAAGTTATTATCAGTTTAGGGGTTGTGGAGATTGTTCAGTTAAGCGTTCGCGCGCGAGATTGAAGGCCCTGGATTCGAATCCCGCGAGCTGGATCGTGGGTGCACACTGCTGAGGAGTCCCACAATAGGGCGAAACGGCCATCCAGTGCTTGCAGGTTTCCAACGGTGGTCTAACATCAATCGGTTCATGATCTCAATCAAAAAATAAGTTATTATTCGTTTAATAAAGAAGTGTATAATAAACTGATAAAGAAAATATTAATTATTTTTAAATGGTCATATTAACTAATGGTTTTATATCTTTTAAAATCTGTGAAATTTAATTATCAAAGATCTTTGTAAAAAGATGAAAATATAGTTGCAAAGATCAAATAAGGTGATAATGGTATGGTATGGGAAAGTATTTAAAAAAATGATAAAAAGTTGAAACAAGATTAACACTTACAATAAAATTTTTCTATCTTTTCCCTCTTCATTGTATCAGTCAGTCAGTCAGTTACAAAGTAGGACCAGGCACAGATATGCATCAGTCCAAGTTGTCATACCTCATTAACACAACAAGATGGACACCGGATTCATAAAAGTAGTTAATTCAGAGGTGGTAATATATTAAAGGAAGATTGCATATAAGGATATAGTACAGCAAGAAAGATAGTTCGTAGAAAGAAAGATATGAAGCGATTTTAATCTCTTAGTTTAAGAGAAGACAGAGAGTGTATACATCGACGCCATTGTGATAGATTCTGAGCCATGTCACCAAGAGTCTCCAACCATTGGTTACGATAGTCACGCGGACACCAACCAAGTAGTTTGCATCTACCAACATAGCTCAAACCAGAATTTAGTGACTTCAAGCACTGATGCCACGTTTCGGTTTGGCCGCCCCTAACTCTTCATTGTATGGAGTAAAGTTTAGGTAGAAGACAATGTTATGTCAAAAAATTTTTACAACTCGACGTTCAGATTACTCGTCATAATGGTTGTAGGTTCATAGTCACTCTTAAAATCTCTTTATTTACTGTGGAAACAAGAAACGGGATAATGTATATGTATATAAAAAGGTATAGGATGTATGGTTTTAACTAGACTCAAAGTTAGTTTATCTAATGACTTATACATCACTTTCCAGAGGTTATACTAATAACGCACTAAGTAAATGTAGAAAATTAATGAAATAGAATAATCTCAGCATAATAAAAAGTTCTGGTTTGTCTTACTGAGTTAGGTAATACATAACATTGATGCGTTTATACATGGATCCTTGCTTCAACACACTGTTTTTATTGATGCGGTTTGTAAAATGTTGTTGAGATGCCGATAGTAGTGGCATTTCTACAAAGTTAGGAATTCTTTCGCTTGCCGACAGAGTTAAAGTTAATTGATTTATTTGTTTCTATTAAATTCAACTATGAAGTCATAGATATTTGGTGTATTTATAAGTTGAAATAAAAACTTTTTGGTTAAAATCCACACAATGATCGTAATATGTGTATGATTGTAGACTTATATGTCACAAATTGATCTCATTTACACAGTTGGATTCATTATCTATTTTCTTCAAAATTTTAAGCTTAAATTCACTTATTACATTTCATTCTTTGATATCATTCGTTCTTTTCGAAGTATTTTCAACTTACTTTTGGTTTTTTTCTAAAAAGTTGTGATATTATTTAAATATCCTTCTTAACTGTGGTATTATATGTGAATTATGATAATACTGACCAATACAAATTGATACCATATAGCTCACATCTGCTGGGAGTGATGGTAAATCAGTTGATATGGTTGTGAATCTTCATCGACTGAGATGGTTGAGTCACGTGTTGCGTATACCTGAACACCGATTACCACGACGCGCAATGCTGACTAGTGTTGGAGACGTTTGGGAGGAAGCTAGTGGTGGCCAAACCAAAACTTGGTATCAGTGCTTGAAGTCACTAACTTCTAGTCTGAGCCATGTTGGTAGATGCAGACTACTTGGTTGGTGTCCGCGTGACTATCGTAACCAATGGTTGGAAAGTGTGTGTGATATGTCTCAGAATCGATCACAATAGCGTCGGTGTATACACTCTTTGTCCTCCTTTAAACTATGAGATTAAAATTATTTCATATCTTTCTTTCTACGCACTAATTCTCTCTTTCTGTACTATATCCTTATATTCAATCTTTCTGTTACATATTACTACCATTGAAGTGACTACTTCGATGAATTTGGTATTCATCTTGTTGTGTTAATGAGATGTGGCAACTTGAACCGATGCATATATGTTCCTGATCTTACATTGTAACTGACTGACTGATATAAACTAAACTAGATCGTTATATATACTCACATACATACTGTTAATTGCTACTCAAATTGAGTTGATTAAAAATAACATGGAATCGATTAATAATTTGGCAAGTATTTAGTGTTAAGAAAATATTTCGAAGATTAATAAACTTTTTTATTGTAAAAAAAATTTTATTGACAAGTAGATTGTTTTAGTTAGTGGATCTGTTTCTGTGAATAAAACTAATTCGATGAATTTGTTCGTTGATAAAACTGTTATTTATAAATCTATTCTTCTTTTGAGTTAGTTATAAATAACTTTTATCATATACTCTGATGGTTAATTAACTTGTTTACATTTAAAACGTTACATTTTTTGTTTTCTAATCCATGTGTGTTTGATAGCTCAGCGGATATGATATATTACTTAAGTGATTACAGTAGCCAAAACTTGTAGGTTACTCACGTGAACCAGGTCCCAAAACAAATTATATATATGGTAAGAGATTCAAGTTATTAATCTCAGTCACAGTTAACATAGAGTCCAGTAAGATTGAGCGTCAGCCCGTTACATATCTTATCAGCACGATGCAATGAAATAAACAAGTTGAATAGCAACATCGGTGAGACTATAATTTATGGACGAACCAATCAGATTTACGATGACAAGTCTTAGATTTTGGCGCGAAATTCATTCACCTATTTGGCTAAATAGAGTGTTTGCATTATAGCTGATGTCAATTCGTGATGAAAACTCTAAATATAATTCCTAACCCTAATCATCAACTGTAAATCATAATCATAATTCTTCAAACTGCTTTATAACCCTCATTTAGCCCTAGTAAGTAGGTGGACACTCTCAAGGTTAGTTTAGCGTCGCTCAAAGGTCGTCCATAAATTATAGTCTTACCGGCGGAACAAAAAAGCATGTAAGAAAAAATATCCTTAAACTCAATATCTAGTGGAAAATAATAAATGAACGATTGATTAAGATATGACGTTATACATTTTTGTATCAGAACCAGATCTTCGATACTGAAAACCTTTTATTGTTACTTATTGGTTACTTAAATTTGTTTCTAGTTAACTTTCTTTTCATTTCAATCATCCTTTGACCTAATTTTCTAATCAATAAATGTCGTCCACTATTTCCATTGAATATAACTTGCTTCATTATGAAATATGATACATATAAGAACGAGCGGAACATTTTGTGTTGATTTGCTATTTACCATATACTATGTTATTTACGTAATTACCTGACTCTTTTCATACCCTAATTCCCTTCTCCTTTTTCTCATTTTAGTGTTTTATGAATTCGATTCTTCAATGTTTAAGTAATACAGCTCCGCTTACCGAGTATTGCTTGGAAGATCGATTTCTCAAAGACATCAATAAATCAAGTTCCATGAATGGGATGTTATTTCATTGTAGGTTGAACTTGAATTGTTATTTTGTCTCTTTTTTTGGTATGTAAACTCTAACGATGTATAGTCAGTAACTGTGATATAAGTCAGTCAGTCAGTCAGTCAGTCAGTCAGTCAGTCAGTCAGTCAGTCAGTAACAACGTAGAACTTCGTACGTACGTACATCAGTTCGAGTTGCCACACCACCTTAGCACAGAGATGCAGTTGTCGATTCAAATCCCGTGGTGATATAAAATAGTGAACAAATTACTGAAATGGATTAAATATAAATATGTAACTTTTTGTAATAATATTTGCATCTCTTATATTTCTGTAAAACGGTAAACATACTCTACTTACTACTTAGTTATCTTGAGTCTCTCATTGAAGCAATAATCAAGTCTAATAATCTCTATTCGGTATTTTAGATTTGGTCTACTGACATCATAATCACTAGTAGTTTATTATTTTTTTAAGAAATAAGGAATTTACGAGAAATATGAATAAAGAGAAGAAATATTTCTTTTCTCTATTCATTTTTTTTCACTAAGCGTTTGAATGGGAATTTCCACCATTATAAAATATTTGATAAATTGATTATTAATATCAAAGTAGGGTTTTTGTGGATATTATAGTAATTCATTCCATTGGTTGAGATCATGAGTCAATTGAAGCTAGATCACTATGGAAAACCTGGGGTCACTGGACGGCCATTTCATTCTATTGTGGGACTCCTCAGCAGCGCGCATCCACGATCCCGCCTCGTGGGATTCGAATCCATGACCTATCAGCCTCGCGCTCGAGCGCTTAACCAATGCTTTCAGGTTTTCCATGGTGGTCTCGCTTCAATTGACTCATGATCTCCACCATTGAAATTGATTATTAACAATACACTGGGGATGTCAGTAAAAAACACTATTTTTTAGTGACTGTTATCTTATTTCTCTGTTTTCCTCATCATTATCAAATAGCATATGCTGATTTAATGAAAGAAATTTGGGATCCTGATTTGGCTAATTCTTCCACTAGTCCAAGTCGATTTAAAAGTCAAATTCAACGATTCGCTCCTCGCTTTATGGGATATTCGTAAGTATATATTTCATCATCTATTTATAATTTCGTATCTACATGAAAGTTTAAGTAGTGTGAAATAAAAGGATATTTTTGATAGTAATTTTAAAGTATTTCCATTTATGGCTATCAAACCTGGTCTAAAAAAAGTTCAGTAGATGAGTAAGTCATAAGCATGTATAAACTTCTTATTTCACAAGTCGGTAGAATATCGTAATCTAAGTATAAGGCGTAGTCAATGAAATAGCTCTGTCATCGATTGGAAGGGTGCATTTTTATTTATTCTTTATTTTTCTCTGCAAATTCAGGTCCTCAATTTCATCTGTTCATTTCAAACTACATTTCTTATGTTTATTTTCCCCTCTGTAATCGATATTATTATTTTCTGTTTCCTCTTTGTCAACCCTACTAAAGTTAGCTTGACAACTTGGATTGATACACATGCGTAAACAGCTCTTATCCTGTTACTGAGTAAATAACTTTCCTGATGACAGATCGATATATTTGAAGAGATTAGGAGATCACCTAAATTAGCGAACGGAACGAAGGATCAGTGACACAACGACAAGACAAGCTAGAATATTCCTATACACTCCAATTCTGCTAACTAGAGCGAGAAGACCAGGTCCAGATGAATGAATAGTATGTTCCACAAGCAGTCAGAAGCACGAACAACCACATGCACACAACTTAAGTGTATATATCCATCATAAAAATGTCCTTGAGAAATCTCACAAAACAGCATATTAAAAGAGGCAACGAACCAATGATATATAGGGTCCTTCCAAGTGGGAAATACAACTTGAAGGTAGAAATAAGGGCTTTTGGTGCGAAAAAGAGAAATTCAAAAATTCTGAAATAAAATTTAAAAAATAAGACGCTTACCAAGTGATTTTTGGGGACCTAGCATCCCAACACAGATCACATCGACATGTCTTCCAAATTGTTGTTTTAATCATATTTTTAGTTTCCATATGTATTTTTGCAGATAGTTAGTGGGAAGATAGAATAGTTTGTAACCTGTGTGTATACTAACTTTCAAAAGCTGTTAGCCACCCGTTGATAAATAAGTATTTGTTTCACACCACAGACTGACTTTGGTTAGCCAACCTTTGTAAACACAGAAGAACTGGAGAAGCGGTGACCGGTGGAATCCAACCACATTGGGAGTGAAGCACACTAATAACAGCAATGGATGATGGTCACGAAGCAACGCGAACTGACTGACGCTAGAGATGTAAACATTGTATATTAACTTCAGTGGTCTGAAGGTCCTGGATGCCTATTATGGCCATGGATGTACTAGGACAAGACGGCTATCCGATCCTTTCTGTATTTAATTGGTTGCCTAATCAAATTGTGGCAGATCATTTAGTTTCAAATGTATGGTTCTTTTTTACAGAAAAAAACAATAAAAGCTTTATCCTTATAGAAGTTTAATCCATCTATTTGAATACTAGCAAAATGATTAATAGTTGAAGAGAATAACTTTACAATGTAAGTAGTAAGAATTCTCTCACAAAGTATGTACTATACTACTGATTAATTCTTTGCCCCAAGGAACAAATGCTATAATCAATACCGTTTGGTGATGTTGAGTACCCTGAATTACATAGTTTGATTATGAAGCGTTTACATTGTCATTCTGGACAGCATAATATCGATACTGTTTGTAAGATTTAAGTAAAATCTAATTATGATTTTACAGGTTATAGATAATTTATTTACTGTCAAATCAGTATTGACCGTGAATGGCAAAAATCTAGATAGTTTTTTATTCATTCATTCATTCAATCAATTGTAATCAACCTAGAATATGGCACAAATGTGTATCGATCCACGTTGTCACATTTCACATAAGCATCATAACGAAAGGAAATTAAATGAAAAACAGAAGAGCAGAAATAATGATTGTAATGAGATTAATTACAGTAGTAAGATAAACGTTTAAGAAATATGGTTGAGAATAATATGAATGTTTTAAGTGAATAGTTTTAATGATACATTGATTTGCTGCAATGCAACTCATTTACTGAAAACTCCATCCATATATAAAGGGTGATTATGGTGTCCGGCTGATATAGATAGAAAATGGATTCGAATCTATGACCTAATGATTGGAAAGTTAATGGTCTAACACACAAACAATCAATCTAAGTCATCATGTTACCACTATTTTGGTAGTTATCTTGATAATTTTATCTGACTGCATTGATATATTGTGGCAGTTTGGCCAGATGCACATATGTGGCAGGTTCTACATTGCTTTTATCTGATTAACCTTATCTAGCAGATATACTATGTGATGAATAGATTGTAAGAGCTGACCAAGTCAATAACTTGTATGGTTAAACATGTTTCTAACTAAAAGTTGTACAAATTCAAATCTTATTAGAAAATATTTCGTTTAATTCCTGGTATTTTCTTCATTTAAATATATATGTATGAAGTTATTGTTTCTTTGGTTTGCTTTGTAAAAGAAACCTGTTGAGATACTTTGTGATTAGAATTCGATATTGTACCATACAAGTAATGTTGAGCAAAGCCATTAAGGCTAATATTAATGACGATAGTGATGATGATAATAATAATAATGCTAAAATTATGCTTGAGGTATTAAAGTTTCAAATTTCCTATCTTGTATACATATTTACATTTAATATTCTGATCTTATGAATACTTCACTGGTGGGGGTTTGGTAATATTACCGACATATTTTGTCGTCAGTGAATATATCTTATAAGCTAATTTTTTTCTAGTCAACAGGATTCACAAGAATTCTTACGATATGTATTGGAAGGTCTTCATATGGAAGTTAATCGTGTTCAAAAGCGTCCAAATCCCATTAAGCCAAATTATGAAGCGGAAGATTGTCTCCCGTGAGTTTGATTTTCATTATTTTTAAAAAAGAAAATTCGGCAGGACTATTCTACACCTACGACCGCCGAATTTATGAAATGCCTTGAGATTAGCAGAACACGATGTGACTTTCGTGTAAGAACTCTAAAAATATAGACAAATGAAATACGAGGGTTAGGAGTTTTAACTAAATATCGATAATTCGTGCTTGATATCATAGTTTCGTAATCCGAAAAGACCCTGTTTATTAGCTTTACATCTTTTAAAACCCGACTCCTAACCCTAAAATTTTCAGATCCTAGTTCCTAAACCCAAAGCTCTTAAGCCTAATACTCCTCAACATTAGCTCTTCATATTAATACTCCTAACCTTAAACCTGAATTCTAACTTTAAATCTCTTAACTTTAACACTTCTAACCCAAACATCTTGACCGTAACGGTTCATTGAGGAAACCATCATACATTCCTTTCGAAATACGAAATATTAAAAAAATCATAAGTTTTACCAACAAGCTTTCCGTAACAGCGTTATAAATTTTGGCATCGGTTAGCTTAATTTTAATTGATCGCTCAAGGATGCCGGTATGGCACAGCTTTACCAAAATTGCCTATTACCTTTATTTCGATAGAAAAGTGTAGTATTGTGTTATATTTTAATTTCTGTGATGTTATATTAAAAAAATACTTTGTGAATCAGTTGTCATTTATTATGTATCCTTTCCGATATTGGAATAAACGTAGGTTTAAATGGAAAAACAAAACAAGATTAATTGGAGAATACAATGATTTATAAATATAATTTGTAATTTGCACTAATTGGATAGGTCCATATAGAGTGAATGCAGTAGTTAGGAATTGGGTTTTTTAACAGGTTTTTCAAAATTTATAATTGCTTGAAACAGCTGTATGGAAATGTATAAACAAGTCAAAATTTGCAAATCTAGTATACTAATAAGATCAATTATCTCGATGATTCGTTTTCTCCATTATAAATTATTGGTGTTGATGGTTAGCTAACAAAAATGCAGCCATATACAGTGTAAAGAATACTAAAGAGAAAGTAATGTAATGCAGTGAATGTATTATATTCTGTCTCGACCGTTGCTGCTACCTTGACGTGGTGGTTGGGCTTGCCTATTGTGATGAACCAATCGAGCTATACTGGCTGGAAAAACTGTTCCTCAAGGTCTTACTATGCCAGATAGGTCGGTTGAACAACGGTAGAACTAGAAGCAGCAAACACAAAGTCCGAGAGCGAGGTCGTACTGCTGATTGTACAAAGGTGTGACAGCAGTAAGGTGTTTCCTTCGGACAACCAGCACAACAGAGATGCTGCCTTCCCACAAGGAGGGGTTGGGTTAGAAAAGGTCGACCATAAAAATGCACACCCCAACTTATCCCACGGATATCCGTCTCCGGCGATAAGGTGTCAACAAGTACGGAGCTAACACAAAAATTACTCACAAAAAGTTGTGTGTGACCGACCTCAAGCAGTTGTCTCTTGGACACTGTGGTCACGCTCTCGGGTCACTAAGACCACCCCTAATACAGTTTCCTTTTCAAGTACCTCTAGAAGAAGTCTTCCACTTTGTGGGCAACCGGGAACTGATAACTGTCCTCATACTTCTAACAACACTCAAGACCACTGCATTCATCATGTTCTATAATTAATGTCATTCTTGTTTATGATTTAAATTTGTAAAGGAAACTAAATACATGAAATTTCAGTTTGATTGTGTATAGTAATTGGAAGATCAAGTAAAATAGGTGAAAGTAATCCTCTATTATTATTATTGTATGTGTTTGAGAATAGAAACTTATTAAATATTTTACAGTGTAATGGAACGAAGTCGCCAGAATGGTTTGCTTCACTGAATAAATTGTAATAAAAAGATTGATTTTGTCACATTTTGTCCAATAAAAGAGAAGTGAATAACTGTTTCTTATTGGTTTGAGACTGAATATCGATGCGTACCCACAATTTCACAAGAGATAAAATTCAGAAACATTTGATGTAACTCTGAGTATTGTACCTACAGATCACTGAACGTGAATTCAATGATCTTCATTTTTGGCTTTAGTCTATAACTGATACAATACAATTGGCAGTCAATGTAATCAGAGGATAACAGTTTATGTGTAGATTGTTCGATGATACTATTTGCTAACAGTTTCATATAACAGCTACCAAAAAATCTTTCTTCAAGTCTGCAACTAGTAGTGCAAATCAGATTATTATGTAATTACGTGTTTTTTAGGTGCCTTCATTGCTTTGAATACAATATTCGTCATAAGCTTACACCGTCTAACAAACCATTGAAAAAAAACTAGATGTTTGATGGACGATTTATCCTAATTTGAGAAACCTCAGATCTGCAAACTCATGGACATTCTAATGTAAGGTCATACGTCTCAGTTAGACATAAGTGGATAGTAAAAGGGTTATAAATTCTATGAAGCAATAAACCGTATACATTATCCATATATAGAAGAAATAATTGATATTTCGTATTTATATTGAGGATTTTTGGAACTTTAATTATTAAATTACTCATGTAGATATCACTACATCTCATTGTTTAATAATGCTCATTTCTTCGAGTCAACTTTAAATGATATTATACTTAGTTGACAACTTTTAGCGAGTTTTGAGTCGACGTTGAGGAAAAAAGTCAACCAAAACACGAGTGATATAGATGAATAATTTAGCTTAGGAGTTAGGGTTAGCACTACGCTTTATAGATGATTGTTGAACATTAGGATTGAGATCAGGATATAAGGGTTAGGGCAAGGGATCATGGTTGGAAATGGAACAAAGAATGGTTTATCGTCATATGGATAAATACTTGTGAACGTAGTTCTTTTGTTTTAAATATCAAAAACATCCAAGTTACCTTTAAGAAATTATGATTTATATTCCATATAATTTGGTCTTATTATGTTACCGATTTCCAGCCTCTTAGTAACTAGAATACTGATAGGTTGCATTTAACTTTTGATAAGACGCTAGCTTCCCGCCACCGTGTTTTAAATTTTAGGTGAAAATTCAACGTCTAAAATATCAAATGTGATTGATTCATCAGTTTAGTATGATTTCACCCGAAAACTGAGTGTTAGAATAGTATTCTAATAAATTGTATTTCCATGTTTTCTTGTCATTTCATGAAGATGAAGCATTCAAGTTCAATCTAAATTATGGGATTACTTTTTTGATAAATAAGCGAATGTTGTGCGAATTATTAAATATTTGTAAATTTAAAGGTAAATTACATTACGAACTGTATTTCGCTAGAAGAACAGTGGAAACCAGATGTTTTTTAAACGGCCTTTTCATCTAAGTATGGAACTCTTCAACAGTGGACACCTAGGACCCTTCTATGTAGCTGATTTAAATTTATGTAATATAAATGTAATGTACAAGTATTTCATTGCATAAGCTACCTTCCAAGCAATTAAAATAGATGTAATAAAACTGAATCTATAAGTATTTCACAAATTGAAATTTCAGAATAGTATTTTTTAAATAAAAGTTCCATTGAAACTGTTTTACACAACAGTTTAGTACTGCTTATTTCCTCATAATGTCTCTTCAGATGATATATATAGTTACTTATTTGGTTACCAACTCACATTCATCAAAACGCGATAATAATCCATAAACTTATTGAGAGTGTTTGAGTTGCATTGGTAAAACTGATCGTATTTAGTGAATAATAAGTTGATAAAACTCATTGGTTGTATAGATCAGGTAATGCGAATAAAACCTAGTCATAATTAAAGGGATGCTTTTCATAGAACTGAAGTGTCATTTCCCTTTTCATTTCTTTATTTTCCCTTGTTGTCATTTTTAACGGTTCCCTATATTTTGTGGATTTTATATGTCTATATTTTAGGGAAATACGTCTCATTAAATGTACATACTTTTGCGTTTGTGATTCTGCCTAGTTTTCTCACATTAGCAATTATTTGTTTGTCCATCCATCTGTTTCTGTGTCTTTAGCCGTATGTATACGCTGCTGGCAACAAGATAAATAATTATGCTTGAGTGATACGATATTTTGAGCTAACCCGATATTCAAGTAGACATAAACGAAGTGACATCTGTCACAAGTATGTTTTAACCCAAAGTTCCCACGTCATATTAACATAATTTGATGAGAAATTAACAGGATACATAGAAAGAAGTAAAGTAATAGTAATGTTTACTATAGTAAGAACAACAACTTCAGATAGGGGATTTCTTTCTATGGTTGTCATTATTGTTGCTACGATTGGATAATCTTGCGTAATTTCTTGAATGTCAGGTTAAAGGTAGAATTTTTAGTAATACATATAGGAGGTTTTCAACCATTAAAATACCAATATTTGTTGCTAATCATACAAATAGAAATGCATCTAAAAGAAACAGACATTTTCTGCACAATTCAAGATAAAATGTAAAACTCAAAATACTGATTATTCACTTTACATTTTACAAAATGACTTTATTATTGATATGATTATTTGTAAGCTAACTACTACACGCTATTGCTGAGTGGGTTTCCAATCACAATACTTAAATTTTTAGTGGTTTTATGAATAAACACCTCTGAGGAATGACCTAATGTTATAAGGCTCAATACATTTTAAGTACTGTCTGGTTGTCAATAGATCATTATTTCCCAACGATCATAAATGATTACTATTCAATGCACTGCGGCTTGTGTAACTGGGCCATTTCCTTTTCTATTTTTTAGAAATTTTCGATAGGTTTCTATAATAAAAAAAATAAATTGGATTGGCACGTGTTGTTTAGTTGATTCTCTTCCTTCCGTTTAGTTGTTCAATCAGCTCTAATTACAATATTGCAAAAAATATACGAAAAGATTTGATATCCAGGCTATCGATTGCGCTGATATATGTCTGTCTAACGATCATATCCTGTGACCTAGCGATCACCCAATGAATTTGAAATACTATTATTGTGGGCTTGGGTGTACTTTTCAATGGCATAGCCACGTGACTTCAAGGTGAGGTGGTC